TAAAATACTAGTTGCTACAGCTGGCGACTCTGCTGGGGACTTTAACTTTAGGTTTTAGGGTTTTTACTTTGAGGTTTTTATTTATTTATTGCATTATTTATTTATTACATTATTTAAATATTGCATTTATTTATTTATTGTGAATTCTTTTTATCATATATTTACTACGTGGCGGGAATTCTTATTTCAAAAATATTTTCAATATAACCCTTAGAAAGAAGGTTCATCTATTAGCTTAGGGGGTACATTATCCCTGTGAGTTTATGTGACAACTTCTCCTAGAGTCGGTGGACTTCCAAAAAATTAATGCTTATCGAGAGATATCCTCTTGACGGGTAGGACTTTGGAAGGACACCCATGACTCTTTATAATGATCTTAACCAAAATCTCATGACGAGACCTTTCACGACTTTGAGACGAAAGTCTCGGTCCGTAAAGTGGCTCCACCTAAGGGAGGACCTTGTGCCTTGTCCCTTTGGTGTTATTCATGACACGCTTAAAGAAGCCACCTTTTGGGAGGATAGGTTAACCGTAGGCCAAAACTAGGAGCCTACCTTTTAAGGATATCATTCACATAATCCCATTTCCATCGTCCCTAAACCCACAGGGGTTACTTCCGATATACTATAATCCCTAGCCTGTAGGGTTTATCTTTCATAAGTCACAACCCGTAACACGTAGGGATTCTTCAACCATCCATTAGTCTATTACAATCCCTAGCTTGTAGGAATTCTCGTCCCTCAATTACCATCTCTAGCTTGTAGGGATTCCCCTTCGTCTTTTATGGTCCTTAATCCTTAAGAATTTCCTATCTGTCTCAATATTTGAGTCATTATAGGGTATCCCCATTTCCATGTCTATCATTATCTTCGCCCTTAAGGAATTCCTATCTATCTCAATATCTGATTCAGTGTAGGGTACCTCCAAATCCACATCAAATTATTTCCGTCCTTAAGGAATTCCTATGTGTTTCAATCTCTGAGATAATGTAGGATATTATCATTTTCATATATACCATCAAACCTGTATAGGGTACCCCTGTGTCTACCCTCATATCCTCCACTTTGAGATGATGTAAATTCTCCTTTTTCATGATTGTGGGTAGTAAGTATGTTTTCCACACGGACAATGACGATGATGTCTTATCCAATAAAATTAACCAACACATTTGTGTTTTAAATTTTTTAAAAGAGGAACTACGTGTACCCTGATCCCCTATTGCACAGAAGGTGGTACCTAGGCACTAAAGGTTCACAACCGCGGCGGGTGCAAAAATCATAAAAAAAATATTTCTTTTCTCACCTCCACCATCTATTTTACATACAACATTTTATAGCCAAAATATACAGATTTTCAAAGAGGTTCCTGCGGAGTACAATAGATGTTTAGGGTGCTAATACCTTCCCTTTGCACAACCAACCCCCTTACCTTGAATCTTTCCCCCTCTTTTGAGTTACTCTCTCTTTTCCCATTCCTTTGGAAACAATAAAGCGCAATGGTGATTTTTATTTTGATCTGTATAAGTCTAGTCAATCCAATGGCTTAGTCTTAAACATTTCTACCGCAAGAACAAAGTGCAAGACTTTTTCTTAGTTGCATTATAATTCAAGACAATTCAAGTTTTTACAAGTTTTCAAGTTACAACAAAAGGAAAATAAATCTCATGCCTAAATCAAATTCATCCATATAATTACAAAAAGAGGTTGAAGGAGTTACAAAAAATCATAAGTCTATGCTAATTTGTTTCTAATATGCTAGGCCTATGCTTTAACTTCATACTCCAAAACCATGCTACATCATTCTAAAGAGTCCAAAATGACTACTGTCCTATGAAAACAAACAGACCCTATGTCACTCCAAAACCTGCTGTAAACCTGTTAAAAGCGCCCAACAAATTGCACAAAAAAATCCCTTGTGTTGCTGCTCCAAAACCTGTCCAAAACTGCTACAAAATAACCCTGCCATGCTGCCCTAAACCTGTCCAAACCTGCACCATATCAGTCCAATTTTTGCACAAACTTAACAAAAACATAAACTGCATTAAAAAAGAAATAAAATAGTGCATCAAAATAGTTCAAATGTTATTCCATCCCCCCCCCCAAATCTCATCTTTCTCACCTATAAATTCAGCAAGAGATGACAGCATAAAAACACACATGAATACACTTCCCTATCATAAAAACTGCACCCTCTAAACTCCCACTAAATTTCATTCATCCTCTATACTAGACAGAGCTTCATAAATCTATTCAGAAAAAATAGGGTGGAAGAACTAACATAAAAAACCAAACACAAAAAACTCCATAGCATCTCACGACAACCCTTCGCAAACTGCACGAACATGCCGCACACGGTAACAACAACTACAACTCACGCGCATACAGAAATCGGAGGAGAAAAGAAAATACAGTAAAATAATTCTCTGTATAAATACTTTCAACCTTCATCAACTCACAAAAAAAACTCTTGAATACCTCTTCAAACTCCCTTCAACTACCGTAAATTCCAACACCTTCAATTGCTAATTGCCCAGCTTCTATCTCCATACTGCAAACAGTAACTCATTGCATCACATACTTCCTATTCTATTTTCACCTCAACCTGTAATTCCAAGCTTCAACAATACTTTAGAACCTGCAGAGCTTTCAAACCTATTTCTACAATATTTCCAGATTTCAGGATTTACATTTAGAATTAGAAGAAGAAGGTAAATTCTGAACATAGCAAGGTTCGAGAATTATCTGAAAGATCTTGAACCTGATTCACTGTAAGTGTTGGTATCCTTGTTTTATTGTTGCATATTTTGATTTCAATTTTTTGATGCAAATATCACGTAATAATGTAAACTGTGAAACAATGAGTAAATGTGCAAAGCATAATCAATCTTTTGTGTGAAAAAAAAATAAAAAATTGAATCTGTACGGTGAAAATGATACTGAGTTGTTGAGAAAATCATTCAATAATAATAATAATAATAATAATAATAATAAGTGTCGTTTGTTTACCGTTGAATGAAACCCTCAAACTCTTCAACTTCTCTCTGAATGCTTCCTCAACAATATCTCTCCGGCATCAGAGCCTCGCTGCTGTGCCGAATCTTGTCTAGATGAATTAATCTGCCGACCGCCTAACTCCGGCCTCGTCGTATTCCGTGTTATCTCCGAACAAGCCACCGACGGGCATATCCGTTAATCCACTGTCGTCAACTTCAAAAACCACCTTTCTTTGATGGGCATTAGAAGGCAATTTGATCCTTTATTCCGATAAGGAACACATCAAAACCCTAATCGTCCCTCTAATGCCTGCTGTTACTCCTAAAATTAACTCTATGCTTAGTGAAGCCTTAGCTATCATCATCAACCGTGATTTCCCTAAATCATGGACATCACCACTACCTGAGCTTGCCTCCAATATCCATAATACACGTACTTCCATAAATCATGACGCACCTAAATTCCATTCACCCGCTAGTGAAATGAATTTGGAAGTTTATAAGCAACCTGGAGAAGGAGTTAATTTGTGTTGGTTTGTTACAAGATACATATGGAGTGTGAGATAGTTGAAGAGAAACAGAATCGGTGCAGAGAAAGAGAAGATAGTTTGGGATTTGAGAGAGAAATTTGGTCGGTTTTTGTGTAATACGGTTGGAGAACTGACTTGGTGTTTTGCGTTTTATCACAAATGTTGCAGATAGCAAGAGTCGCCATCGAGTTTTCTTTTATTGATAAAGGATAAGGTGAAAATAACAGGAAAGACCTTTTGAGAATTTTTCTTGAGTTCGGGGGGTAGGTTATGAAAAGGGAAGGTATTAGCACCCTTTTCATCCGTAGTTATCTACGGGCTCTTAATTTCTATCTCACTTTGAAATGCTTTGTGTTTTATGTAAGTTTTGAAAATATTTTGAAAATTCCTTTGTTCGGAAAACTTTGTAATGATTCTAGTATCATTGAGAATGTATACAAAGTGCTAGTTTTAAAAATATTTGTTGTTTGGAAAGTGTTTGAAATATATTTTTTGAAAGTGTGAGGCGTGAAATTTGTTTTGATTTATGAGCAAGCAATTATGAGCAATTTTACCGACTCAAAAAGTCTTTGTTCTTTTCCTCCTCTTTTAGATAGTTCTATCCTACCATTGATTGGTAGGAAGCCCTACTATTGGATGTGAGGGACATGCGCGGGTCGTCGTGCAGTTATAGAAGGCAACTTATGAGACGCTTTAGCAATTTTTGTAAGGGACTAAGATCGTTTTTCTGAAGGTAACATCAAAGGGTCATCAAGGGACTACAATCTTTTTTTATCGAGGGGTTTTGCTAAAGCATCCCCTATTCGAGAGACATGACTGTTTTTCCGAGGCAACAAGCGAGATTACCCTAGAGTTACGCGTGTGAAAGTTGTGTTTGATTCAATTATTTGTTTTGATTAGGATTATCTAGCGATTGCTTTTATCTTATCATACACGCCTAATTACTATACAGTATAAAAGAAAACAGTAAATTACGGAAAATAAAATTCTATGCTATTACAACGTTTCGGGAATGGGGGTACAAATTTATGAATGAGGATGAAGTAAAAGCCTAATTAAACTATTACAAATCGTAAACAGTTACAATAATCTAAAGAATGAAAAAAATAGTAAACTACATGAAAAAATAAAAAGGGAAATTATTTTGTAATTTTATCAAGTAAAGGAAACAATTAGAAAGCTCATGTGTGTGCAAGATAAGATCAAATAAAAGAAAAGAAAATAAACCACTTAAATGATTAACATACAAAAATTAATTAAGTTAATTAAAAATACTTAATAAAACTAATTAATTAAAATTAGTTAAACTAAATAAAAATGATTAAAAAAAATAATTATTATTAGCAAAAGTTAGAAATAAAATAAAACAAAACAAAAATATGAAAATAAATAGAAACAAAGCAGCAAAGTATAAGCCCACTAATAATATACAAAACAACAAAAACAAAAAATGATAAAAATCTGGGCTGAAGAAAAAAATGGATCGGGTCAATTGGGGTAAAAGCCTATTCGAAAATTGCCACTCCATGGAAACCCTAGGGAGATTAGTAGAGCCGTTGTATATGTCTTGGTCATTATCCAACATTAATTTTTCATTTTTAATTACAAAACTCAAACAAACCAGAAACAAAAGTTCAACTATTTGTAACTTCCATTCTCATGCTTCAATTTCTGTAATCGACATCACTCTGATTCTTTCACGCTTCAAGTTCTCCATGTAATAACAACAACTAGGGCCTCCTGTCTCTGTTCTTCTTCTCACGATTTTTTAATCTCTCGTGGTACCTCAGAATGAAAACACGACAACAACAAACAACAATAGATATCATTCATGATTTTGCAACGACACAATCTCAGATTCAGATTTCGATAATGAGACATCAACAATAATGAATCTACTCATCCTCTCACGGTTTCAGAACCGACAACAACAACATCAAGTTTCACGACGATAACAACAATAACAGTAGCGCATGAAAAAAAAGAAATAATGAGTACTTACGTTTTAGAGTCGCTCCGACGACTCTTCAGATGCAATAACGAAAACTAGAAACCCAACTTATGTACTTGATATGCTTCTATGCGAAATTTCTAGCTCGATTGGATTTACTCTGTTTTGAAATTCTGTTTGCATTGCTGTTTTGAAATTCTATTTGCGTTGTTGTTGATGCGTTCGTGTTGGCACCATTTATGTTTCAATCCGCAGGAGCCATGTAAATATGTGGAAGAAGATGCTGAGTTGTTACTGTAAAATATTTTCAGGTTTGATTGATGAAGAAATGTTGTGTTGCTACAGGCTTATACATGTCAAATTTAGAGTCTTGATGGAGGAAGCTTGTGGTGTGGTTCAGATGTGCATAAATGAGAGGTCATTTTGAGTGTTGGAAGTGTTTATACAGGGCTGAGTTTATAGAGAGGTAGTTGGGTGAAGAGTTTGAGGGCTGCAGTTGTTTGAGCGGAGGAGTATGGGCTGATGTTTGAGTTAAGGTTCTGTAAGTCTTTTTTTTCTGGTTTTTTTTCTTAACAAAATTCTCTCCTCTTCTGTAATCTGAAAATGGTTTATATAGGTGGATTAATGGGTGTTTTTTTGGTGAAAAAGAATGATAAGTTTGAATTGTTTTGACGTGTTGTGTTTTGTGCTTTTTTGGATCTGGTTTTGGTTTAACGGTTTTAAGCAAGTTTGGTGGACTGGCGCAACAGATTTCAGACAGTTTTGTAGTGGTGCAGGGCAGAAAATACAGGTTTTGGACTGGTCACGGTTTTGGCAGCAAGGTGCAGCAGGTGTTCTTGATAGAGTTTTTATTTTTTTGCTTATTTTGTGACATCTTTGACTGTTTATTGCAGTAATTTTGATAATATTAGCAGGCTTATTTTTGGAGGTATTGGTAGTTTGGACAAGGACTGGCTTTCCATATTTTCCTTATGATTTTCTATTTTCAAGTGTGCACAGGGCTGCATATGCTTGCATTAGTTTATGGTTAAGTGCAGGTTATGGTAATGGCAATAGGGCAGTACCATGGTTCGTGCATGGTATTTGCAAGGTTTGTAGCAGTTTTGGACAGCTTAAAGCAAGTGGACAACATAGCAATATGGTGATTAAGATGATGGAATGGTGAAGTTTGAACAAGGATCATGGAACTTGAGACTTAGTACTTGGTGTTTTGGAATAGCTTGTAATTTATAATTTATGAACTTGATACTTGTAAATCTATTGTAGTGATGTAACAACTTCGAATGACTTGTAAATTAGAACTCAAAATTTCTTCCTTGTATAAACTCACTTGCCTTCGTATATTGTGAATCTAATTCGACTTCCATCTTATTGTACAAACTTGAATGGTTGTTGAAAGGTATGCTCCTTGAAGTTTAAGTACAAAACTTTGAAATCTTTGTGCCTTGAAATTTATAAAACTCTTGAAAACCCTTGAAATTTGCTCTTGCGGCATGTGTGATAAAGTCTTGACAATTAGTCACATGACAAACTTGGGTATCCTTGTAAGAAATTATTAATGATGATTGAACGAACTTGAACAAAAGGTTGAAGGAGATTGACACGTAAGTGAATCAACGCGATCTTGAACATGTCTTGTGTTTTGAGGATTGTATATCCTCTTGAATCCATAAGAACTTGTATTCGAAATAAAACTCGCATGCCATGCTCAATTCAAATGGAACCCAATTTCCAAACTTGAATTCAATTTCTTGATGAATAAAACATATGCTTTAATAATATTCAACAATCTTGTAACATTAACGATTTCAACATGGGAATCATAGTCCTGAGAAAACAATTATGGCATGAATTGAAATTAGAAGTCAAGAACATTCTAAATCAAGAAAATGACCTATGACGATTCAATAACTTTCAAGATATTCTAAGCATAATTTGACTCTGATCTTTAAAGAAACTTGTAGATGACATTCCTTATGACAATGTGCAAAAATAATCGTCTCAATATATTGAAAGTTGAGGAAGTTATGATATTTGAAAGTTAGACATCAGTTACTTGAGATTAGGTCAAAGTATCATAAAGCTACCTCTAAAGTATTCGAATTTTTGATGATCTTTCGCACATAATCGAATCTTGACTTGTAAAGATAAAATGGGGATTACGTCAAGGAGAGTCATACGCAAAAAGAACCACTAAAAAATATTGAAGAATGAAGAAATTACAATCGTTTAAACTTGATCTTGAAAATGTTGACTTTTTAGTTAATACGGTTGATTTTCATTCATCTGAGCAATTGACTGAGTGAACTTGTGATGCAAGGCATGGGATTTGAAATGAGTATTCTTGAACACATATGAAGCACCATGAAAGCCGCGTGAGACCTTGGAAACCCAATATTGCTTGAGAAATACCAAACTCTAATTCTGGACTCAATGCTTAGAAGGAGAATTTGTCTGATCAATTCTTAAGCCACCTTGAGCATTTGAGAAACCCTAGGAGAGTATCTTGAATGAAAAATGGGAGGGGAAATTTTGAGGTACAATAGCTTCCCCTGTTCAATCTTCTTAAACCTGAACAATTAGATTGGCATGTCCGCCATTCATGACTTGAAGGTAGAATATGATTGAACACTTAAGTATCCAGAAATTTGTACTCGTGTGTGCCAGAAGTAACATTGTCGGCTGGTTATACTGGGAATGGTCTTAATGATTCAATTCAGAGGTGACAGAGAGTTTTCGAAGACGGGCTTATAAATTCCATCCAAGATAGTGATAGAATATTTGTCAGAGATGGGCTTATAGATGCCATCCAGGATAGTGACAAGATATTTTTTGGAGATGGGCTTATAGATGCCATTTAGAGGTGATGAAGAGTCATCAGAATGAGTTTACGCTCGACTGTATCTATGTAGAAACTGGTTTTTAAATGAAGAGTTTCCACTATTAGTTTTTATCCTAGGGAAGGGAATCTAACAGAAAACCCTAATTTGCAGACAGAGATTCTAGGTTTCGTACTTCTTTAGACGAAAGGAAGGTGTTAGGCACCTTTAATCTGCCTTGTTCACAAGGATACTAGGTTTTATGTTTAAGTTCGGGTAGAAGAGGGTTTTAAATTTTATTAGGGGAAAAGGGTTTTAGTTTTTAATAGGGAAAAGGGTTTAATTTTTATAAGGGAAACTCGCTACGATTTTTGATTGTATGCCTACGTATCCTCTTATGAGGAATCAGAGTCTCAATTTGTAGTTCGTATGGATTGGTGTCTTTTAGGGGTTTGCAAACATATTTTAAATCACTTCGCACTTGGTCAGGACTAGTGATTGTGGAGACTTTGACTGGGTACGCAGTAAGTCAAAATTAGTTTGAAACCCATTTGCAAAAAAAGACTGTTGATTAGCTTAATTTGTTCGCGAAAATGGTTTGATGCTTGGTTTGTGTTTTTTAACTATATTAATTGCAAAAATCTTGATTAATGCGTGATAAAAAAGATTTAATGCAATGTATGAGAAAATAATATATGTACATGAGTTTTTTGAAATAATAATTTATATGCTAATATAACAATATTTACATATAATAAATGATAATATAAAAATAACAATAATAATAGAAAAATATGATAATAATAATTAATAATAATAATTATAATTATAAGTAAAAAAAGAAAAAAGAAATAATTAATAGAATATAATATAAAAAAATAAAAATAAAAAATAAAAAATATTAATAATTTAGGTAAACCTGGGGGGTGCAGTTTTCTTGTTGATAAGCAAAGAAGGGGGTGTTAAAAGGAATATAGTCTAAGCCCATTATGGTCCAGCCAAGGGGGGGGGGGGGTGCAAGACGTTTTGCCCTTTTAGCAATTTGTTGGAAGCGGGGTGTGAGTAGCAACAGGCCTAAGCCTAAACGCGGATTGAAGGGAGTCCAGATAATCTTGTGCAACGAGGTGCATGGTAGCTATTATGAAACTTGGCCTAACGGCCTTTTGATGAAAATCAAGTGGATAACGAGCGAGGGAATATGATAGCCCAGATGGGTACGCTGCATGGGATCCAAATGGATAAGAGATTTGTTATTCATTTTCAATTTCATTTCTTTACAGAAAGTCCTTATCCTCTCTCTCATTCTCGTTAAAACCCAAGCCCTTTCTCCTTCATCTTCTTCTATACTCTTCTTCTTACCTTCTTTTAATTAGATCCAAAAAATCTATACATACTAACTTATCCAACCAAAGCCGTTGACATAAAAGACGGGGAGAGTGAAAAGAGAAACTGAGAGGCGAAAGATTCGCGACAGTGCTCGGTGTTATGGGTCTCGCAGATGGAGTCTGTAGGTACAACGATTTCCGATGCCGAGGTAGGAGAACAACAGCGGCTGTGTAGATTGGGAGGAGGCAGAGATCACGAGGTTGACAGTGGTGGCGATTTCAACGGCTAGCGATTAGGGTTTCCGATCCGGAAACTCTAATCACTTCTTCTTTCAACGTCAAGGTTTCGGTTCTTCTTCAATTTCCTTCCTTCTTTTTTTCTGTCTTTGCGCCCACTCTGTTCTTCTTCTGTTCAAAACAGGTCGCCCTTCTTGCTTTCTGTAAATGATACCCTCTCTGTTTCTGTCGCCAAAAAACCCCTCTCACTTCTGTCCTTTTTTATGTATTTATAAGTTAGTTTGCTTTTAGGGTTTCTTAAGAGTTTGTTGTTACAATTAGCAAAGATTTAGGAAGAATTTGTAGAAATTAGGGATTATCCCTTTACTGTAATTGATTCGTCATACTTTATAATGAGATTTAATTTTAATTTCCGATTTGATTATGTTATAGATATTCTGTATAATTTTTCTTGAGATTTGTTGTTGTAAATTACAAGATTTTGCTGAAGATTTGATTAGGTTAGGTTTTGGAATTCTGGGCTTGGATTTTTATTGATATCAAGATTTTATTATAATTCCCTTTTACCGTAACGAGAAAAATGGGATTTGGTTTAACTTTGAAGATTTGGTTTGTAATAATTTCTACAGTAGCTGTTAGTAGCAGAAAACATGCACAAATTTTGGTGAATGGATACAGTGCCTGTTTTTTTTTACTTAGTTGGGCCCGCTTTACAGCAAATAATTTTACATTTCTGAAAAAAACAAATGGGCCAGCAGCTGGTTCTACCCCACTTAGCCCAACCGTCCATATTTATAGCCAATATGCTCTAATAAGTTAGGCTTTTTACTCTCTATATTATTATTTTTTTGATCCAAACAGAATTTTGCTACACAAGAATCCTTAATAAAAATCAAATTAATTTAATCTCTTTTAAAATTATCAGCAAGTAATACTAATCATGTTTTACATATTGTTTATTACCTATCTTTTTGTTACAACAGTAACAAACAACAACATCTAATGGGCCTAGAAATATTAATGGGCTTGAATATCTTTTAAAGCAAACAAAATTTCAGAACCCAAAGTTATAGTAAAATGTTTTAGTTTTTTTTTCTTAAAAAAAGAAAATATATTGTTTATTTATTTACTTAAAAACAACAGACAATTTTCTTTAATATAAAAAATGGAACTTGTCAGCAATTATATTTTTCTTCATGATATGCATTTATCTTTAATAATAAGACCAAATAGTCTTGCTAATAACACCCTTTTCAAAATCCTACATAATAAAAATGATTTAAAACTCTTACTCAGAATCAAACTAATAATTTGCTCCCGAATGCCAAGTGGGCTAACTTAGCGACCATTTAGTTTCCCATTTCTCTTCTTAATAACAACTGTTCAATAATTAAGAACTTAATAGTTGCTCGAATAATTGATTTTTGAATTGCATGGGCCATTGACTAACATGCCTCATGAACGGATTTACGAGTCTTTCTGATTTAGAA